GCGCTCTTGCAAAAGAGCCTTTTTACCCACGCAACTTTTTTATATCTCCCAACTTTTTGCTAACGATCGTCTACGAAAAAAGAATGCCCATTAGACAATATTGGTTACAGTAATAACATAATCCATCGATATATTGGCAATTCAAGTTTTGTAATTTAATACGAAATAAATTATAATGTAAGCAAAAGTTGCACACTTAACAGAATTTACGATGCGGTTTTGTTTAATGATTGATTATGTGTCGCATGTAATTACATTTAATGATATAATATTATATGACCGGGTTTTGAAGAAGTTTTGATTGACAGATGTATTTGAATTACAGATGTTAATATGAAAGAAACACTAATTAAATGAGATGAGATGAAACGTTCCAAATTTACGTTCAATATTTATATGCAATTTACTAGAAAATGTACGTAAATGATTTACTTGATATTGTAATTGTCAAATTTCATTATAAATAATAATATGATTATTGTAAATAAAAATAATTTAGCAAAAATAATTACTAAGACATTTTTTTATATATTTAATTACTCTTTGGAATCTTGACTTTATGCATGTATTTCTTTTAGTATAAAAGAAATTTAACGAAAATATATTATTAATTTATAAAGATCTATAATAGGCGTGTTCGTATACATAAATCCACTTTGAGTCAGATTACACAGAGATATAAAGTTATAGCTTTGGCGTATACCATATTTATTTGCATAGTTGTAAGTGAAAATTTATATTATCTTCTGATGTAATGATTTTAACCACATTTCCTTATTCCACAAAACATAAACAAATAAATGCAGATATATATATATATATATATATATATATATATATAAATATTGCAGATGCAAAGAAATGCAGATTTATTATATATAAATCTGTGCATGTGTAAACAGTTATTCAACAATAAATTGAAACTATTATTTTAAATAGTAACGCTGTACCTGACTGTCTATAAAGTATTAGACGATTGTACAATGTTGTAAATATAAAATAATTTTTTTCAAAAATATTCCAATTGATTTTATTTATTCAACAAGGAAAAATGCTGCAATATAATTCATGATTATTCAATAGTTTTCATTAGAAGGCTTAATCATCTTGAAGCATTGCTTAAACCAGACATATATCGGAGCCTTAAGTATAATTATTACTAAACTACTCTTCTAGTAGAAAAGTAGTAGTAGAAGACTTCTACTACTATTTAATATGTACATAAGACATAAAATTGTTTGACAATGATCTGTTGTATGTAAAATGTATCAGTAATACTGGAAGAAAGCTGCCCGACAACTTAAACGCTACCTTGCAATAAAATAACCAGTTTCGTTTTCAATGTTCGATATTACGTATACTCTCAAACATAGAATTATATTTTTTAATACTATGATAAAAATGTTATTAAAACACATGTAGGCCTAATACGCTTACTTGATAAGATTATTTGATTGATATGTGCTAGGGTTTATACAAAAACCGACATTTCAGAAAACCGGTTTTCGAATTTTAATTTTACTAAAAAACCGGTTTTAACCGGTTTTCGAATTTTATATAGAAAATAAATTTTTGCTCAAATATTCTGTAATTTATCCGCACATTTAGGGTAATTTAGAGCAGTATTTGACTGGATTTATTTATTGTTCAATTATACAGATAGTAAACAAAATTATTTTAATTTTAATTAGTAGAACTAAAAAATAATAGTTTATCTTGACTAAATAACTTTGAAAATAATTATTCGTTATTTATGCATCATTTTTACATATAAGAATGAATATTTTTATGACAGTGAAATGAAAGTTTTCAAATAAATATAAACAATATATTTTTAAATAAAAAAAATATTAAGTTAAAAAAAAAAAAAATTAGATACATTTTGATACATACTTGTTAATATCAATTTTAATTTTAAAAGCAATTAAGCTAAACTCGGTTATCGTCTGTTCCGAGCAATTTTAATTAATTAATTTTAAACATTCTAATTGTATTTTTGTTTAATAAAATATGATTTCAAAAAACTAAGAACGTCTATCGAATTGCTAAGCCGTGTCCTCTGTTTACTCACAAAATTTCCTGAAATAGAAAATACTTTCATACTTGCGACCGAATTAAACTTAATTGTTAAGCCTGATATAATAATTCTAAGTTTTTTGTTCTTTAATTTGTGGCTTCTAAGGTTTAAAACTCGTTTTTTTTAAGTTTGAGTAGAGGAAGTTACTTCTTCGAGAAGAAGTCACACTGATTTAAATTAAAATATACTCTAGTATGAAAAATCTAAATTAATATATACAAAACCTTTCTGTGGACCATTGCAAACTGATAAGATATCAAATGCTATTGAACCGATATGATTTCAAGAATCAAAACGCTCTCATCTATCTTTTATATTTGGCTATATTTGTCGTTTTCCATTTATACAGTGAAAACCGACTTTTTTCACTAAAAAACCGGTTTTCGAATTCCATAATTTTTGCCAAAAAACCGGTTTTTAAAACCGGTTTTTGAAAACCGACAAACCCTAATATGTGCTCTATTTTTGAAATATAGTGATCATCAATTAAGATTTTACCACGCTTGTGAAATTAGTTTGTAACTGCAGGCAGAAATCGGCACATGTGCAAAAATTTGTTTATTCATAGTTTTTTCCAATACTTGACCAAATCGGTTACTAGTTACATTTTTTGCATATGGATATTTTATGTATCTAATGACTATGTATAACATTATTGTGGCTACTAAGCCGATCTACAATCGACCTGCTCCATTTATTAATCGTGTCGAATTAAATAAATTTATAATTATTCCATAGAACAAAATATGGAATTATCGACCTATTCATAAAATGCCTATATTTCAAAGCCTGCAAATTAATTAAAATCGAAAACAATGCAGCGCACTGATATATAAACGGGTAAAGCCATGACATTTTTAATATCCCATGAAATATTCTATATTTAATGAAACGAGAGCGTTTGTCATAGGCTTTATAGTCTAAATAATTTATAAAATGTGGAGTTTTAATTAAAATTTAAAAATAGTGAATTTGATAAAACTGACTTTGGTATAACATTTGCTACTAATAAACAATGCTCTATTAAATATATTATAATAAGCCATTGCTGCCATTATTAGGTTGAATATTAAATTAAGAATTACGATTAATAATTCAATATAATACAAAATTTTTAATTATAACATAATTGAATATGTTTTATATATCGTTAATTTAATATAGTAACAATTTTTATGAAAAATATGTATTATGAATTTATTCATTCAAGCATGAGCAAATAGTCTCATATAATATTATAAAATGGTTTTTAATGCTAACCACAATTACATGTTGATAAGTCAAATATTTTATTAGTATTTCTTAGTTCTAATATTGTACCTAAATTAGTACAAAATGTTCAATCTCTGTTTTTTCTTAAACAAGAAAGTAAGAATGAAATATGTCAGCCTCAAAATCAATGAATATTAAGCAAATGTTCCTTAAAAAATTGTTATACTTCTCGTTTTCCAACATTTGAGAACCATTCTCAGTATTTCTAGTATGATCAATATCAGTATTAAATATGCTGAATATTAGTCATAATAATGATTAGAAAAAAGAGAGTTCGATATATATTTATAAATAAAACCGCTTATGCAATAATGCGTAATTTAAAAATCAAAGAAAAAGTAATAGACGATGAACGATTTGTTACGCCTCCAGATCCCGAAAACATATGTGTTACGTTATTATATTATATTATGAAATAGTTTATAAATTCAAATATAAACGCGTGTGTGTATTCATTTATATTTATAGATCAATTGGAAATTTCTTATTTTGCATACGGTGACATAAAATATTAACGGAAGTATGATATAAAAGAAAGCCAAATAAAATATCTTGCGGAGCGAGTTTTAGCAAAGCATTTGCATATCCGACTCTACATAACAGATTGGAATTTAAAATTGAAATTTCTGGTGAAAATAATACGTAACATACTTGACATTTAATAGATCACGAATTAGATAATATATATATATATATATATATATATATATAGGGGTTCTTGAGCGCACTGCCTTGTGTGGATCAAGTTAGCAACCTCATGCAGTAGTGATATAAATTTTTACTTGAAAATATAGACCAAAAATTTGTTTCCAATTGAAAGTAGCCCATTTTGGGCACTGCGGTGTGTAATGGCAATGGGAAGTCTCTCACACTATCCTTCTAAATCCTTTTCTTTCATACATTTTAGAATTCAAACTTTCAATTAAACTTTACAACTATACCTTATGATAGGAATCAGTTGTTATAAAAACATGTTCACCATGTACTTTTTTCCATCAAACGAAGAGAATTAACGATATCCCTCACAAATATGCAAAATAAAATGTTTTATTCATAATTATCACAAGTCATATATTAATTCAAATCGTTATGAATATGTGTCTTTCTCTCGTTTTTGCAGTCGCAAACATTTATATTATGAAATAGCGTGATTCAATTAGGTCAAAGTAAATACTCTCATTAGAATATATTATTATTATATGAGATGTTTTTGCTCGAACCGACATGAAAGGCAAGGACAGATTTTTTTTATTTGCATAATGTGGATCGTGGAATAAAAGTGATTGTTTTGGATTTTAGTAGATTTATAGAAACGCATTGAAGAGTTAGTCTTTGTTTTAAAAAACTAGAGTTATCGTAGTGATCATTTTTGAGCAAAGGTTGAACTAGATTTCGGTACCACTAGTATAATTTTTGTTTTAAAAAAATCTAGAGCATTAGTAATGAAAAATTTTTGAGTAAAATATGAATAAAGTTTTGTTACAAATGTGTACAATTTACATATCACCTGATAGACAAAATAATTACATCTTGTCTTGAGTAGGAAAGGCGTAATTTTACTAGATTAAAATAAATCTTTAGTGCATTTTATTGTGTGTATAAATCTGAATACTATGTTTTCTAACTTTATTATTAAATATACGTTATACAGATTTTGAACAAATACCTATTCCCAAAAATGCCGCAGCATCGCCTCGCAGGGTCAAGACAATCACTCGAAGAAGATTAGTAACACCAATGAGTACTTCACCAACTCCTTACAACTTAGAAATGGTATCCTCTACCACATCATCAAAACAAATAAATAGCAATTCTAGAGTATCTAGCACAACTCACAAATCGGTAAAATTAGCGTCCAAACCAGAGAAAGCCAGTACTGCTACCAATCTTCAACCTAAGAATAATCTAAAAGCCGGTAATGCTAGAGTTTCGAAGGCCATACAAAATGAGGTTCCAAAAAATAACATCGACATCAACCCCACGAATTATAGAATTAATTTGACGCCAACAACTCAGAGAAGCAAAGCCACGGCTCCTGCCTCTGTACAAGTCAAAAGTATGAACTCGGCAGCCGTAAAGAATGGAAACGCCACGAGCAAGGTAATTGCATTATGGTCTTTGAAAGTTTTGCGGTGCTAATTCTGTTACACTGCATCACAGAAATGAAATTAGAAAAATAATATATGGTTGTTTTAATTTCGTTATGTTTATCTCAACAAGGTTTTCTTATGTTGTAGCTAAGGTAATAGAGCGCTTAATTATAACGCTGTATTTTTTATTATTAAATTACCTTGCTGAAGAATAATGTTATAATTTTATCTTTTCGTAGCTCTGGTATTATTTTTCTCATTTCTCTATGTATATTATAAAAATATGAGCGTATGAGATTTACGTATGTAGTCATATATCTATATTATATCATGAACGTAATGACTGCAAATATGCTCAAGAAGTTCCAATGTCTAACAAAAAAAAAGTTATGTAAATATGAGAGTTTTCTAAAAAATTATTTGCGTTTTGAAATTCTATTATTCCTTTATCTTTGACCACCATACAAAAATGTATTTGCAGTCAATTTGTTATTTGTTTCTAGCAGCCAAAAGATTTACGTAATGTCCAATGGATAGTTGTAAATAGATGAGATAAAATAAAACAGTTTTTCAATAAGACTATTACTTTTTAATAGGTGGAAGCAACTACTGTCAAAATTACTCCAACATCAGTTAGACCACCGACAAGACGTGACACATTCACATGCCCACCATCCAACAATTGGCAACTCTTCGCATTGTTCTGCGGACGAGATGCAGACTGTTACCACATGGGAAATAGTTGGCTTTGCTGCCGTGGAAGATGCCTTCAGGGCAAAGAAAAACAGCGAGCCGAAATAAAACATGAACGTACGTGTAGAAAATCTCACGATTGTATTACCGTTATGAAAAAGATTTGATATGAGAAGTGTATGTGGATTTAACTGTGATATTCAAATATTTTATAAAAAAATATTATTCGAAGATTTTTAGTAAAACTTATTTTATATATACAACATCGTCAAAATGTAAGCAGGATTGAATCAAACATAATCAAAATTTGCTCTAAAATTACTTTTCCCACTTTGTAGTCAAATCATATCTTTTTGTACAAAAATCGTTTATCCAATAATATTACTTCTTTAAGCATCAATAATTCAGCATATAATTTTTTGCAAGTATCAAAGTTTCTTGGTATTCATATTAATAATAATTTAAAGTGGTCTGATCATATCTTTATCTCACTATCACCAACTTTATCTAGAACATGTTGCGCACCCTGAAACCCAAACTTGGTTTAAATTGCTTACTTTCAGTTTATTATAGCAACTTTTATTCTCACGTTTCATACGGCATCCAATTCTTGGTTTTTTATCCGAACTAATTAAAATATTTAAGCTTCAGAAAAGAGCTATTCGAATAATTTTTTCCTTGCCCAGTAAAGCTTCCTGCAGACCCATATTTAAAAAACACAATATTCTAACTGTTCCATGCATTTTTCTGCTGGTAACATTAGCTATCATCCAAAATAATTCGAAACTTTTTGATATGGCTTCGTCCTCCTCAAACTACAACACTAGACACAAACTTATTCAGGCGCGCACATATAAATTAGCCAGCTCTTTCAATACGATCGACAGTCTAGGTATTCAGCTTATGAATAAACTTCCACTCAACATCCGAAACTTAGACAGCAAAAAATTTCATGTTTTCCTAGTTAAACTTTTTAAAGAATTAGCTTTTATGACATTACTGAATTTTCTCAATTTGATTTCAATAACTATTTTCTTGCATAATCCTTATCCTTTATCTATGTAGTCTGATCATTTGATCGCCTGTACAACCATATTTTTTTAAAAAAAAATTTATTGCTGTTTTATTAATTTAACATTTTTACGGTTTTAAATGAGTATAACTTTCAACCTTGTGCAAGAATTTTGAGCTTGACTGGTGGTCAAATAGACTTTAATATGATGAACTTGATGATGAACATTGTATTTAATGTTCGAATGCTTTTTTTCAGCTTTTTTTTTCAGAAGCGAAATTCGTGCAGCTACTATGATTATTATAAAATTACTATCCTTTTAACATTAACTATGAATAAGCTTGACAAGAGCCTGGAATAATATCTATTATTATTGATTACGGCTTGCTTATGAATAAATAAATAAATAAATAAAAAGTCGCATACAATTTCAGCTGTCTATAAGATTTGATTAACAAAGTTAATTTTCAACCGCAACTATGTATTAATAAGAATTGCGTTATATCTCAGTAAACACTTATTTATACATTATTTCTTCACCTACTTTCAAATTTTCAGCGCTCCTTGGCCTGATAGAACGCCGTTGTCCGACCGTTCCACTCGCTGAGCTCTGGTTTCCTGTGCGAACGTGCACTAAGGACCGCGATTGCTTTCCCGCCCAGGTGTGTTGCCCAGATGGTGCCAAAAGCTATTGCCGTAACCCGAGACATGAATTCGAAAATTTACCTGGACCTGCTGGAAATATCGTTCGACGTTAGTATAAAAAAATTTACTTTTGATACAAATGTGATATATTGATTTGAGGTCATATTTTTGTAAAGTCAAATTTAAATTATAGAACTGCATTGGTATTTTTATTCCTTAGTAAAATCACTGAAATATAATAATAATGTCAAATCATGTGATAACAATGTAAACAAAATATTATTCTATTCTATAACACATGTATTGAACTATTACTATTAAGGGAGCATTCATTAATCACGCAAAACTTTTCAATGTCACTACCCCTGTGAACGAGTATGGGAATTTAGTTTACCCCTAGCTAATTTAAAATAATTAATACCACACAAATTTGAACGAAAATATGTTTATTATCCAACTCTATTTATAGAACAAATGTTTGGACTTTAATTTTGGCAAAAAAAAAATTCTTTTTGTGTTCTCTGATTTTCAAGAAACAATCCAATTTCTTCTCGTAATTCGTAATAACCCTACTTACAACTTTGCCTCTTGATAACCAACGTTCGCCTGTACGCACGCCTTAGGGGGCGCCAAAACGAGTTTTGAAAATTAAATTTATAATATATTATAATATTTTTTATTATTTATAAAATCTAGAATACTTAATAAATTATAATAAACAATCTAACTTAACTAGGGATACGGAGACACGAAAAGCGTATTTATTTTGCAATGTGATATCAGTAGAAACAAATAACCGATTAATAACTTTACAAATTAATAAATAACAACTCTGTTTATTGCTTAATCTGCTTATTCAATTTTTTCTTTGTTTGAAGTTACCGTGAAATCGAAAAGGAAATTATCTAGTGTTTAATACCATAAGCGCAAACCTGCAAAAGATTAAATTAATTATAGGGCGTTATTGACGAAAAATTGCAAGCTGATTTAGTTCAAACAAATTTTAATCAGGAAAATAAAAAATGGGGAGTCAGTGCTTAGAAAATTACACGTCGTAAGGCTTATAGGGGGAGGGGGGCGGTTGACAAAAAAATTACGAAAAATTACGTGCAGTAGAAAGGGATTTAGTAAGATATCACGTTTCTAGATTTTCAAAAAAAAACAAAAATTTTACATTCTTTCCGTAAATTCGAAAACCTCGTTCGGAAAATTTTACGTAGCTAAAAATACACGTAATGTTTGGTAGGGGGTAATCTTAAATATCCCGACGTATCGCCAAGGGAGAGGGAGAGTCCAAAAGTCCTTAAGAAATCGATTTCGTGATTAATGGACGCCGTCTAAAATAGCACTATGTACTATTAAATTAATTATATTATTAAAAAATAATGTAGAATATATGAAATCTGTGATGAAGCCATAAATAACAACTTAAACATTTGCACATAATTCCATTAAAAACAACTAAATATGCGTTTTCTGGTAGGAGGGTAAAAATTTAGGGCTATATGTGTTCTTCAATTACGAATTATAATAAAATGAAATAAGTTAGAGATATTGGCCAATTCTCAGTCATCCTGAACGTGGTTATAAAAATTCAATTTAAAAAAGCATATATATATATATATATGTGTGTGTGTGTGTGTGTGTGTGTGTGTGTGCATAAAAATTGAATAAGTAGACAAACTATATTAGATTAATTTTAGGTGCATAGATTAAAAGTATTTTTCTCTAAAATTGAATTGAATTATAAAAAATGTTTTTTCTAATATAACATTGTCTACTTTTACTATTTTACTTCTCATTCATTCCTTCATTTACTTTTACCATATTTGTAAAATAAATTCTAGCTTTGAGAGCAGCTGCATCTTACCTTCAATGTACCCCACCACCTCCTCCAGTCATAGATTTCAACCCAACACCATGCAATTCAACGGCAGACTGTTTTCCAAATCTTTGTTGCCAAGAGAGAGGCAAAAAACATTGTAGACCACCACAGAAAAATATCATTTCTCTGCTAGCTAGTATGACACAGGTATGTATATGATAAATTGCACATCTCTATAATCACTATTATATTTATTGTCAAGTAAGGAATGCAAGTGATAGGGGGCATTCAGAAGATTGGTTAACAATATTGTTGCGCAAATGTTTGAATGGATGTTCCATTTCTAAGCGGTTCGTTGGATCAGATTTTAACCTGGTGGAAGGCGTTGCTCCGGGTCACTGTGATCTATATCATACCACTTATATTTGGGACAGGGAATAAAGTGTATATATATATATATATATATATATATTACTTAATTAATACTTAATTTATTTAGTTTTATTACTTCTGAAAAAAAAATTATTTTCATATATTCGTAATCAAAATTATTATCATCATATTCAAGTAAACCAGTTGTAACGAAACTACAAACTTCATGAATAGAAATATTCTATTCACACATATTCCGTACTTTTGTGTCGGATCACAGTTGAGTCGCATAAATTACTCACAGTGAATTTTCGCGCAGCAATTTTGCTGAATGATAATCCGCTATTCATGCGAATGTAGGTTTTCGCTCTCATTTGTGGCATACCATGGCTATATATAATAGAACCGAAAAGCAAATAGAAAATTTCCATTAATGAATCAACTGTGATTAACTTTATTATGCCAGAAGTTTGATCAAATATAGATACAGTTTTTGAACGTGTTAATTTATAATTTATTGAATGTATAATATCCACAAAAAAATGCACTATAAAAAATTATAGTGATGAATGACTATGTGGTTATACTCGTTATTAGTTAAACTCTTTCTATTTGATTCTGAAATATTTTAATTTAACACGAAATATGACGATCTATAATAATAACATTGATATACTTTGAAATATTTCAGAGATTTGGAAGCGGAATTTGGAAAATGATACAAGTGTCTTCAAGTCCTCAACTGAACAATTTATAGATGCTTAGTAAAATGTAGTTGTTATTATAATAATTATGTACTGTAAATATAATAATTTTAGTTGATTATTGAAATGTAATGTATGATAATTTATAATGTACAAATTTTTGTTAATAAAAACTGTTGATTTATTATCGTTTTAATTCTATTAATTGCCCAATTACAGCGATTGTAAATTAATTTGATTTTCATAACTAAACTTTTCTAATTTCTATAAATCTTCACTTATTTTTGCAATTTCAATACTGTAACTTTTAACAGTCAATGTATTTAAATATTAACATTTAATGTAACTTTATATTGCATATAATGCTTTTAATATTTGGCTTTTCTTATATAAAGTAGTAAATTCATTGTGCAAGCAGTATTCGAGTAACGAGCATCAAATATGTTACTTTGCCTTGTATGATGTGGATTTACAAACTCAAGGATTAAACTTCCCCGTATGAAGTTTTCATATTAACTCTTTAATTACGTCAAGAAATGGGTTTGAAATAATGCTAATGCTGGATTTGCTTATACGCAAAATGTATACGTATGTAATTATAAACTTAAATGGATGAACAGCAAATAAATGATATATATATATATATATATATATATATATATATATATATATATATATATATATATATATATATATATATATATATATATATATATATTTATTCTTTTCAATCTTATTCTCACTCAAAGACTTGCAACTTCCTCTTTGAAAATACATATTCTTAAATTGAATGTCTCTTTTAATATACACGAAACTATACACACCTGTAACTAAATTATAATCAATTATAATTTTTAGTCAACATATATGTTAATTTTTGGATACTTATTAATTAATTAGTTTAGATGTATTCTTTAATGATTCCTAAAGAAGGGGACATCTCATACTTCTGATACTTGATGTAGTTATACGAGAACATCTCTTTCAAATGGACTTTTAAGTTCAGAATAATTAAATTACAAATAATATATATACAAAAAACTAGAACAATATTTATTCATTGGGTTGATACATAAAGCAGCCTATTCGTTATAGATTTAACAAATGTAACAATTTTCATGAAATTTGCAATACAACACATAACGCAAAATATAAAAAATAAAAGGCAAGAAGTGCTCAATATAACAGCAATGCTTAAATCATAATTCAGTGGTTTCCAATCTTTTTGACCCGCCCCTTCCAGCTTTAACAAAAAACATTGTTGCGCCCCTCTTAATTTTTGCAACAATTTAATTTTATAAATACTCAATTGATATTATCAGATTACAAATTAATATGCAATATTATGTAACAATATGCATAAAAACTAATTATTTTTTGTTAATGTTTTAACATCATTTCAAAATTTTTGGGTTATTTTTGAAAAAAATATTCAGGAAACAGATCTAGGCGCCCCTTCAGAAGATCCTGGAAGGTTGGACACCGCTGCCATAATTTTTAAATGCAAATTGTCAAGGATTATATATAATTAATGGAGGGTGAATGTATAGGGCATTTACTGTATAGACTGCAACTTTATAGAACATACTAAATAACAGAAAGCAAATCGAATAAATATCTGTTTCTGACTGCATTTGCTAACTCCATCTGTATATCATGTTATGCTCAGTAGAAGAGAAATTCATCACTATTGGTTTGGAGATTTATAAATGAAACGTTATACTTGGAAACCGAATCTAATTAAATTTTATAAGAAAAGATGTCTTCCTGATGGAAACTGAACAGCCTTATTAGTTGTTCTATTTTCTATTGGTCTAAAAAAATATGTAATAATTAAATGAGGATCAACCTAATATAAATTCAATGGAATCATACTTTATATTGTTCATTTTAAAGAAATTCAAATATTTAAGAATATTGACCTATCAAGATTGTACAAAATTATTTACAAAATACGCAGCTGATATTTTTATTCAACTATGTAAATTCAAGATTACACGATCCAAACCTACAGGTTGCCGCAGTTAGGGATGATTCCATAGGATGTTAATATTGCTACTCAATGGAATATTAATATTGCTCCAACTAAAAATTCCCATTTGAATATTTCTTCTTTATGCCTTTAAATATAAATACAGTGAGCATATGGTGTAGATGTAGTATAAAGTTATTCGCTGGCATGCTTGAATAACCCTTTTGTATAAAAGACTATCCCTCATTTTGGACACTCCTATATAACGACGGCTACAATCGCGGCAAGAACAAGATTTATAACGATGTGTGCATTATTCGATTTAGTAGAGAGGTTGATATCTTTGGAATAAATATAATTTTTATTTGGCAATATAAGAATTACAAAAAATACTAGGTATAATTAGATGAGTTAACTTGCCTAGATCATAACATATAATACTAATTTATATCAATACCTAGGCTTTTGGTAAATAAAAATAATAATATTAGTATAAAAAATAATTATGTTGTTAGACACTAATTAAAAATATAAATAATTATAAATATTTTTATTGACAGCATATTCACAAGACATGCGCATAAAAGAATTACTGAATATATTTCAAAATTATTTTCACTTAAAAGTATATTTTATTATTTATTATTATTATTATTTATTACCATTTTTGTGTTGTTATCTTCATTCATTCTTATTTAATTTTTATTTTATACATCTTAGCATAGCAGCTCATATAATGTAATTACTGTTTAATTGTATCATAAAAAATAAACAAAAAAAACTTAAGAATAAACTTAAGAATATAGACCGAAATATACTTCAAAGTGAAAATAGCCCTTATGAATATTGCCACAAAAGTCCAGTTTATCACAACTGGATGGGTCAGTCTTTGGGTTGCCTATAATAGCCAAGTGTTAAATATTAATTTTCAAAATAATTACTAAATATTTTAAACTACTGAGTATAATAAAAGATAGATATTATTTCATGAAATAAATAAAATAAAATATTAAATTAACTTACTAACATAATGACAACTACATATATATCTAAATCTTGTTCTTTTAGCAATTAGCATAAGTAGTTTTACAATGAAGTATGAATATTTTGAATGGTCGTTATTACAAGTTAAATATAAGAAAATATACATGTACAAGTTGAAAAAAAAAAATTAAATGCATGAATCGTTTCACAAAAAATTCGGGATGACTACTCCTCATTCATTGTCAATTGCAACTTTCAAATTTCGATTTTTAACTGGAAAAATATAAGTGATACACTAATATTATAAGTAATTAATATATTTAAAAAATCATACGAATAAAAATTCAGGCGCTATCAACTTAAAAATAGAAAATATATCAAATCAAAAAACTATGCACAGAATACAATAAAATAAAAGAAATCAATTTATATTGATTGTTGTTCAGACGTCTTTTCGTTTTATTATATTGGCCATGAAGATGACAAATTTCAGGGCATTAATCTTTACACGGAATGGTTGCTACCCCTGGTAGAGGGGGTAGCGGAGTGTTTCAATGGAACTAGTTGTTCACTTCAAAAAGTAACTGTCCGCTTAGCAACATGTAAATAACCAATAAAAATAAATATATCTTCTTTCATTATATCTTAGTAACAAATCAGTGATTGTAATTAGAACTGCAACAAATACATAATATACAAACAAATCAGTGTTTAATACAGTCCACAGCTACAAGGGTTATATTATAACCCAACAACCTGATTTATCGAAGGAGAGTTTTAATAAATTCTATAAATACGTAAGCATAAAGTACAATTGTAAAACTATTAGCTATTTATTGTTAGTTTTATTAAATATTATGAAGCATTAATAGTATTTAAAATTATGTCTATATATGTATTATTTTTCTCAAAATGAAACAAATTTTTAATTTCAACGTCCAAATTAGTTAAAATTTCTCTCGAATCTCTTTCTATTATTACTATACAAGTGTGTTAAATGAACTATTGAATGAATCATCTAAACAATGAAAATGAAAAGGGAAGCCGCTGTACAATCCCTCGAATAAACATAGTACAGTTTAGTTAAGATAGCGGTGTTATTTATTAATGTTTACCAAAAACAATTAGAAACATTATAGAAGATAATAGTATAAAGCTTACACAAAATTTATGTCAACACAGATAAAACTGGAACGCAATTATCCTGTGGCGAACTGGAGTAAAACATTTCTTATCCTTGCTATTGAATGGAGATTGGTGATAATATTCATTAACTAATTTTTATTAAGATAATTATTAATAATTTTATTAATAATTATTTTAATAAAATAATAAATATAATTATAGAAGACAAATTTAATTATTGGTCTTTTATATTTCTCATTTAAAACAATAGTATTAACGATTGAGCTCTGTTATGTATTCTGAATGCTAGACAATAAAATTCTTTAAAACATTGAATCAATAAACAAAACGTAAGTACAATATTAGTCAGACAATGAACAATGAATTGTATGTGATGAATTTAAATATTTGCTTATATTTATGAAAAGGTTGGTTATATAGCTTAATTGACAATTGTAAGTATTCAATATAAATTATTAATAAATTTAATTTATTGTAAAGTTAATTAACAAATTACCTCAGTAAAATTGAATGAATAATATTATATACTTTATTTATATATTTTTGAGTTAATGTGTTTTTATAATTTTATTATTGATTAACTTAATTAAAACAAAAGTATTTAGAAAACTGCAAATCATGACGTATAATATAACAAATAATATGGATGATTTTTTAATTAATGGGCAACTCAATCAATGAGTCATCAAGGATTTTTTTAAATAAATGTCATTTTGTTTCTGTTGATGAAAAACAAAGGTCGATTTTTGTACATGTATAAATCTTTTGAAATTATTAATTTTATTATATAAACAACTACATTACGGAAATTTGCTCATGGTTTTGGAATCTAAAAATATATTTGAATTGCCAAAACTTCAAACGCAAAGCATAGCGGTTTTAAAATTTTATAATCATAATTTTAATGAGTATTGATGTTTTATTCGAAGAAATATTAATAGAAATAGTTTG